GAATGACCGAGCTCCTCACCCTATCTCTAAGGGAGAGCCCAGCTACTCTGCCGAGGAAACTCATTTCGGCCGCTTGTACTCGCGATCTCGTTCTTTCGGTCACTACCCATAGTGAACTGTCCCAATGAGAGCCGAAGGTCACAGTCCAATGAAGCCAACAGAACCACATCATCTGCAAAACGCAGAGACCTAATCATGAGGTCACCAAATCGAACACCCTCAATGCCCTGGCTGTGCCTAGAAATTCTGTCCATAAAAGCTATGAACAGAATCGGAGACAAAGGGCAGCCCTGAGTCCAACCCTCACTGGAAACGAGTCTGATTTATTGCCGATCATGCGGAGTAAGCTCTGACACCGGTCATACAGGGACCGAACAGCCCAGAGGCACTGCCCCCGATGTCAACGCGATGCTGCAGATGCATGTTAACCAGGACAGCCCCACAGCATCCAGAGCCTTAAGGAACTCTGGGTGGATCTCATCCTCCCCCGGGGCCCGGCCACTGAGGAGCTTTTTAACCACCTCAGCGACCTCCACCCCAGAGATAGGGGAGTCCCCCTCCCAAGTCCCCAGACTCTGCTTCCTTGTTGGAAGGCATGTCGGTGGGATTGAGGAGGTCTTCGAAGTACTCCCTCCACCGACCCAAAACATCCTGAGTTGAGGTCAGCAGTGCCCCATCCCCACCATAAACAATGTTGATGCTGCACCGCTTTCCCACCCTGAGCCACCGGATGGTGGACCAGAATCTCCTCAAAGCTGTCCGGAAGTCATTTTCCATGGCCTCACCAAACTCCTCCCAAACCCGAGTTTTTGCCTCAGCAACCGCCGAAGCTGCATCCCGCTTGACCCACCGGTAGCTATCAGCTAATAATCCTTTAGGTGAGTGTATATATATATATATGAAGTTATGAAGTTGGGGAACTAAGAGAGGAAATCACTCACATATCCATTTTCTTTGTCCCCTGATCCAGCCAGGGTGAGTGTCATCTGAGGGACTCATTATGAACCAGAGAATAGCACTGCAAAGGCAAAGCACTGCATTACAGGCAGTGACATACGGGAGAATAACACTGCGAAGGCACAGCACTGCATTACAGGCAGTGACATACGGGAGAATAACATTGTGAAGGCACAGCAGTGCATTACAGGCAGTTTAATGTTTAATTTGGCAGGATTGCTAATTAGTGCCTGTTCCTGATTTAAGTTATACAGTGATTAGATACAGGTGTGTGAACATTTGAAGGAACCAGTTGTTGCTCGCTGGTGCGACCTGATGTCCTGGGTTTAAAAGTAGGCCCTAATAGCTGTAATGTGTTATATGGATAGATGCCAGCTCCCTGCTCTGAGGTTCAAGCTCAGCCTGCCTTTGGGCCTCTGGCAAATTTCAGGCGATGTAGAGACAATATCAGGACAGGGGAAGAAAGGAAAGAATGGAGAAGCAATTAGCCTAAGTCTGTCTAAAAAATAAGGAATTGGATGGACATGCAGTGTCCTAGGTGAAGACCTGTTTTGTTTGTACAAGTACTAATTGTGTGAAGTTACTTTTGGCAAAAATATTTGTTGAGGGGAATTCACACAGGTACATTTCATTGTCTTTTAGTGTGTTTTGTTGAACAGGATATTTGCATATATCATCACATAATTTAACAGGACGTCCTCATGAAAGAGTAAAATGCTTATCTCTGTCATTTAGTTACGAAGAATCAGATCTCTGAGAGTGATGACTTGGACTTTCCCATCGATTTTGTGATGACTGCAATCTCTATCAATCATCTAACAGTGCCATGCTTATCGCACTTCGAGATGTCA